CATTTCAAGTTACTATTTTATTTTATTTTTTTTGTATTCCAGGCAGTATTTCTGCTGCTGGATCTCTAATGATTAGCATTACTAAATATTCTTTCAGTGTGAGCCAAATTCATAAAATTAATTTTCTGTATTTTAATGGTAAAATCAGTGTAATAGCTTTTTGTCACCTTATTATTATTATTATTTTTAATATCAGGGGTTGACAGGTAATGACAAAACTGATAGCAATAAGAAATGTACAGAATTAGAAGTTATAGGAAAATTAATTTTCAAAATTCTGTCAAGGGTTTGAAACTAGAAGTTGAGGAATTATTAAATTGTTCTTTTAAAATGTCTTTTAGTGAGGGGGAAAAGAACCCTTTAGTTGCAAAGAAAAGATTGAAATACAATTCCTATAACTTCCAGGTTAATAATACTAAACATTCTTTTCTCTTAGTCTTTTACATTAATAAAACTCCACTAAGTAACAGAATACATATTTAATATTGGTTGCCATATCTTGCTTTTTCATTAAGACTTCTCTGTGCAAATTTTAGGAAAGTAATATTTACATTTTAATATATAATATAGTTTGCAGTGAGAGGTTTCCATTCTTAGGAGAAAACAGAAAGATACTATAAATCTTAATTTCAAAAATATGAGAAAAAGTAAAAGAGAAATGAACTTTTTTTTAAAATGTATAGACATCTAAGCACATATGATAGTTATCTTTCCGACTCTTGGGAAGTGGATTTGAGAATACCAATTCTTTCTTTTCCTTTGCCTGTTTTTTGAGAACATCCAGTGTTACATTGTTTTTAGCAAATGGGAATGTGTCAAATGTATCTACATTGTGATTTAAGATATCCCAAATATGGGTAGTTTCTGATCTAAGGAAACTTTAGTTTTTGTAGTTAAGTAAAAAGAATGTTCAGGAAAAATTTTGTTCTCATGATCCCTCAATTGGCATTTGATTTATTGAGGGTTTTATTCAAATGTTTATTAAATATATATGATTTATAGTCTTTAGAAAGTAGCCACAAGAAAAAAAAAGAGAAATGACTGTAGATATTTGAATCTTGTTTTACTACTATTTGTTTAGTATGCATAAATTTTACTAATGTACCATAATATTTCATTTTCATGTTTAAAATTAATTTTTTCAATTCAGTGTTAAATTATATATTTTGTAAAGGGCTGAAAGTATGATTTAAACTATAGATTATTATAAATATTTTAAGTGAGATAATGTAAATAATAAGCTTGGATCTAATTTGAATAAAGATTTTAAAATAGTAATAATGCATTTCATTTTTAACATAAAGTGTTCAGTACCAGTGAAAGGAGGAAGTATTGTTTTATGAAGATAATATAACTTGGATAAGTTTGGAATTTATGTTTGAAGAAAATGAATATAGCCCTGGCTGGTGTGGCTCAGTGGACTGAGCATGGGCCTTTAGACCAAAAGTTTGCTGGTTTGATTCCCAGTTAGGGCACATGCCTGGGTTGTGGGCCAGTTGGGGATGTGAGAGAGGCAACCAGTTTCTGTTTCTCTCACACATCATCTTGCCCTCTTTCTTCCTCATTTCCCCTCTTTCTAAAAATAAATAAATAAAATCTTTAAACTCTATTATAAAAAAGGAGTATAAGCCCTAATATTGTATGAGTTATTAAGACTATTAGTATTAAGCATAGTTTTATCTGATGAAGATTTAGTTTGGAAAACAATTTTAAGACTTACTGATTGTAACTAGCTGGTAATTGTAAGGATGATGTGTATCTTTTAAAAATCTTAAATAGCATCAAAGTATTCTTCTAAAAGTCATAATATTTCTGTATTTAAAGAACTATAGATATGTTATCCTCTATTTTTAAATTCATATAGCTTGTACCATTGAACTCTGCATCTTTATCCCTAAAGTACTTTTAAGCTATTGCTTTTACATGCATCCATGTTACCTTTTAACCAATCAAGATCCTTCAACAAGATAGAATGAAAATTAAAAGTATATTTCTTCTTAATATTTAAATGCCATTTTCAAAACACACAAAAATCCCAAATGCTTCCATATACCACACTTGCAATGTAGAGAATTTACTCTTACTGCTGTCCAGAATTTATTCATCATACTGCCCCATTCCCTAGTAAGATAAATTTAATTTTAGAATCCTCAAGTAATACTAAGTAAGAGGTATGAACAAAAAAGGTGCCATGTAGAAAATTGACAAGCTCAGAGGGCTACTTAGTAGGCCTGACAATGACAAGATAATAACCACACAGGCTGATGTGATCCAAAATTCCTAACTGGGTAAGTCACAGTGGACAGTCACACCTATAGCTCTCTTAATAAAATGTTTATCTTTGCCTTAAGTGAGCCCTATACATTGTTTTTTTAAAAAATTAAATTTATTTGGATAACATTGGTTAATAACATAAGTTTCAGGTATACAAATTTATAATACATCCATCTGTATATTGTGTGCCCACCACCTGAAATTTAGTCTCCTTCCATCACCATATATTTGACCATTTTCCCTCTTCATCCTCCCCTCACCCTCTTTCCCCTCTGATAATCACCATACTGTTGTCTGTGTCGATGAGTTTGTTTTGTTTGTTCATCTGTTGCTTTCTCTTTTATATCCTACATGTGATTGAAATATAACTAGCTATGGGAAATGCAAATTAAAACCACAATGAGTACCACCTCACACTTGTTAGAATGGCTACTATCAATAACACAAGAAATAACAGGTGTTGGAGAGGTTATGGAGAAAAGGGACCCTTGTACCATGTTAGTGGGTACAGCCTCTATGGAAAACAGTATTAAGTTTCCTTTAAAAATTAGCAATAGAGCTACCTATGACCTTGAAATCCTTCTTCTGGGTATTTACCTGAAAAATCTTAAAACCTTTATTCATAAAGATATATGTACCCCTATGTTCATTGCAGCACTGTTCACAATAGCCAAGACATGGAAACAATCTAAGTGTTTTTCGACTATGATTAAAGAATAGGTGGCACATATATACAGGGAAATACTACTCAGCCATAAAAATGATGAAATGTTACCACTTGTGACAATATGGATGGATGCTGAGTATCGTTCTGAGTATCCATTGTTCTTGTGCATCTAGGTTAACATACCTTTGAAATGCTCGAGTAATCTTTTCTAGACCTCTTGGAGGTATAACCACCCTCACAGGAGCAGCACTTGAACTCCTCATTGTAATCTTTTTGCCTGAATACCATCTCTGTTTTCTATATGTTAAATGTTAACTCTCTGGTACCCATCAATGTAGATGTGTGTATCTCTCCATTTTGCTTTTTCTTGAATTCCAGAGATTTCCCCTACCTGCTTTGCTTTCCCCCACCTCCTTAATCTACCATGAATGGATTTTATTTAACCTTCTTTACACTTCTTTGCTTCTAAATATATCAAGTGAGAACTACCATTTTCTCAATCCACTGAGATCTTGCTTCTGCACATGCCCTCAGTTTCGCTGAAATAAACATTAATAAATGCTTATAAAATTTTTCTGTAGGTTTGGATGTTCTTACATCAACAGAGGTAATGGGAAGGTTTTCTGTTTGCTTAATATTAAAGTTTCTTCTTCTATATGGGCAAAGAATGGCAGTTTTATACAATGCTATGTTCACTTGTCTCTTGAAATGACAATCTTAATTTTTTTAAGTATTTATTTTTCAGAGAGAGGGAATGGGAGGGAGAAAGAGGGAGAGAAACACTGATGTGAGGGAGAAACAGTGATTGGCTGCCTGTTGCAGGAGCTCTGAGTGGAGACTGAACCCTCAACCCAGGCACGTACCCTGACTGGGAATCCAACTGGTGACCTTTTGCGGAATGATGCCCAACCAACTGAGTCACATCAGTCAGGGCACAATCTTAATTTTTTAAAAATATGTATTGTTTAAAAAAATCTGTGGTCATGTTGACAAAAATGAGCTCTGGAGGCATTCAGCTCTTCAGCCAATCCAGTCCTAGACTGTTTACCATTGCCTTGGCAAACTGCTCCCACAGCCCCTCCTTCTCCCCAGCGATCTGATTAGATCTCTGTCATTTCAACAATAAGTCACTTGGGATAGTTCTGATATGATATGCTACAACTGGAGAGCATATAGATTCATTTACTTTCAATGATCAAGAATTGCTTTTTAAAAATTTAATTTTGTTTTATAATGTAAAATTTTTACGATTCTAAAGTTACATCTATATAATATATATTCAGAGAAGTTACCTTATTGTATATACATGTCCCTTCCACTGTACTTTTCCACTCACTATGTCCCGCAATGTATAGAGATATTCCTCAATCCTTTTTCACAACTGCATAGCTCAACATTGTGTGGATATGCCATAGTTTATTCAATTAGTCTCCTATTCACAGACATTTGAGTTTAATGTTAATTTGAAGAAAGTTTAAAATTAAAGTTTAACATGGATATTTTAGGGGGGAATTCTGTGTTGAGAATGGCTGTTGCAGAAATACAGAATTCAATTTCATGTTCTTAAATCCCCATCATGTTTCCTCTGAGTCTGAGTAACCACAGCTTAATATGTAGTCATTTAAAATAGTGGTATATGCATGTCACAGCAATTTAATGGGCTTGAATGTCCTTACAAGGAGTCCAGCCTATTTTTTATAAGCCTTTCTGGTATATTGTTTTTTAAAACTACATATATCAATAATCTATATGTATACATATATGGTTTCTTTTTTACATAACTTACTGGCAAACCAGCCTGTTAAAAAAACTTTGTAGCCCTGGCTGGTGTAGCTCAGTGGATTGAGCGTGGGCTGCAAACCAGGCATCACAGGTTCGATTCCCAGTCAGGGCACATGCCTGGGTTGCAGGCCACGGCCCCCAGCAACCGCACATTGATGTCTGTCTGTTTGTCTCTCTTTCTCGCCCCTTCTCTCTCCCTTTCCTCTCTAAAAATAAATAAATAAAATCTTAAAAAAAAACCTTTTTAATGACTTCAATTCATTTCAAGTCAATTAACAGGAAAGCTGCATTTCTTGTATATGACAAAAATAGGATGGTGGCAAATAAGCCGAGAAAATAGTTTTTGAAAATTACTGTCATTTGTATGGGGTGGGCAAAGTATGAAATAGACTTAATCTTTTACATAATGAATAAAGGAGTTAGTACTATAAAGTGCTTTAGAACAATGACTGGTGTACATCAAATACCAAATTTGCTTTATTTGAAAGAAATCCAGATAATCTTAATTTGTAAGGTTGCTAATGGAACTCGTAGCAATCAATTCTCATAATAGCATCTAAAAACATTTTAAAAGAATGTAAGCCTTTGGAAATAAAGTGTCGTGTTTCCTTATGATTCTATCATTAATACTGGTGACATTTTGTGTGAGCATAAGTTTACTTTGATTGTATCAACCTTCTTGCAATCCGCTCTAGTTGAATCAGTATTGAATGATCAACTCTAGTATGCTCTATACGAGACCGTGTGGGAGATGGGCAAATTATTATAACAAAATAATAAAACTAAACAATCAGAATTTAGTAATTATAAAATGATAAAAATTAAACTCCATGAAGTAGCATTTGAATTAGCATGAGTTTTCGGATAGCACGGAGAGGCAAGAACACTAGTATATAATGTTCGTGGACTCCAAAAAAACCTCATTACCAGAAAGTGCTCCGGATTTGAGAGTTAGGGCGGCTTCTACCCCAATTAAGAAAATAGTGAAAATTTGCCTCGCTGCAACTCAGTTAGAATGAAGGAGAGCTGGGTTTTTCACCACCCTATCCAGTGTCCTCCAACGGTGCCCGAGTGGACAGGCGGGCTTCTTCAAGTCCCGCTGCACTTGTTAGCTCTGCAGAGGCTCGCACTCAAAGCCGGGCTGAGAATGCGGGGACCTCGGACTTGCCCAGCCTCTCAAGCAAGCATAGCACTAGGGTAGGTTCTGCAACTCGGCTCTTGCCACGCCTCCTCGCCCTGGCTGACGGAGGTTCCGTGGCTCCCTGGCGCCCCCTGGTCTGGTTCTGCGGGGTAGGTTTCCGGTGAGCCTCTACCCGTACCGGACAACTCCCTCCTCCTGGGCAGCTACCATCTCTGTGGCTTTGCCTGACCCCCCTGTTCCAGGTGGGACTTGTCCCGTGAACTGCGGTGCCTTCACCATCCCCTTCGCGTGGTTGTCCGGCTGCATATGCCTCTGTAGCCCTGGCGCGCTGTGGGCGCTTGTGGGTGCTCCTGACCGCTCCTGGTGCGGCTCCGTGGCAGACTGCAGCCATCCGCTGGGCCCCCGGCGCTCCGCCCCTTCACGGTAAGAGCAGTGGGGAAGATTCCGGGTTCCCAACCTCTGCCGAGAGAACCAGGTTTCCTAGGCCCTTTTTCGGCGCTCGAGGGACTAGCGTCGGAAGGTGCGGGGTGCGGAGCGGGCTAGGGTGTGGGAGGCTCCCGGGATCCCTGCGTCCCTTGAGGCAGCCTGGGGTGGAGAACCTGGTCGTGGCATGGTGGCAGCGGAAGGGCGCTCACTGCTGACTCCGCAGTGCTGGTTCCAGAACTCCCCCAGGCCTCTCAGGCAGCCAAGTCCCCTCAACCCCCGGCCGTGTACATACCATGAGGATTATGGTACCGCGGGGCAAGCTGTGTAGGAATCGTTGTAAGTCTCAGATGTGTGTAGCTTTTCATTTGCTGCCATCTTTAAGCTTTCCCACGTCTGTCACAGAGCAGTGCTCTATCTCACCCACTGTGGTCCCCATCAGCCGCGGTTTTTCACCTCCTCATCTTTCAGGCGTTTTCCTTTTGTCTAACCCCTTTTAGGCCTGTGGGAATCCAGTCAAGGGATGCAGGAGTGGAGGGAGCCAGCTGCTTTGTGCTGAAGGAAAAAGTACCTCATCTGGTAAAGCTTCTATCTGCTGGAGAAGGGCCCCACCCCTCCCCCGGGGGACTTGCAGGAAACACCACAAAAGCCTCTGCCAGACCGGGGATACCAGTAGCTGCCTGCTTCTAGTTTATGCAAGTGGGTACGTGCCCTCTGCAGAAACCAGTTTTCTGTTCTGAGTCTTTAGATTTTCCCGTGATGTAACTGTTACACCTTCATGGATCTGTGGCTTTAGTTATGGCTATAGCTTCGTTCAGGACAACGAACTTGGATAGCCAAAGGGCAGGAGGACTTGGTCATAACAATGACTTTATTTCTGGGGAGGATGAGTCAAAGGATAGGATGTCCTGTCTGTTGAACAGTGAGGCTCAAATAGTAGTGTGATTCAGTGAGTAGGATTACTACCTGCAAATTGTTTGCTCCTAGGAATGTTTTACCTGTCTGTACCAGTTGACGTGTGCATAAAATTGGCTGCCTCATTCCTGCTCAGCATTAGAATCTGGTTTAGGGTGGTTCCTGTAACTCTGCAGCTTGGTATTCATTAAGGCAAAGGAAGGGCACCAGGAGCCAGGGTAGGCCTTATGATATTAAATGCCAGGCCTTTTGTGTACAAGCTATCTCATAAATTATTTTTTTTAACTTAACATATCCATTAATTCAAAATATCACATGAAGAGTAAAATCTACTTCACCATCTTTTTAAGGTAATATGTTTCATTTCTGACAGATTTTATATGTCTGAAACATTACAACAGTTTCTGAGTGGTTCTGAGTATTAAAGAGGTAAATATTTTCATTGTAAGATACTGTTACTATTAAAATGTACTTTTAAGTTTTACAAAATTGCTGTCAACTGACTGTTTAATAAAAGTTCTAGAGAAAAAGATTAATTCAGATCACTTTTACAACAGACAACAGTATACTCTTTAGTTACACCTATATGTGAAACCATTATATTTACCACTCTGGAGGGGAAAGGATTTCTTCTTGGTGTTCCCATTGTTCAGTGATTATCTGTTGGCCTTGGAACTTGAGGCTTAATGGAACATAACAGTATGTTTCTAAAAGCCCCCCATCTTTACTACCCTAACAGGGGTGTCTAATCTGTGACCCGTGGCCGCATGCAGCCCAGGAAGGCTGTGAATGCAGCCCAATACAAAATCGTAAGTTTACTTAAAACATTATGGGTGTTTTTTGTGTGTGTGATTACATGTCACATTGTATTTAATGTGTGGCCCCAGACAGCTCTCCTTGTGTGGTGCAGAGATGCCAAAAGTTTAGACACCCCTGTGCCTAGTTAATGAGGGCTGATTTTGAAAGTTTGGTTTTCCAGTGTGCCCCAATGACAGCAGACTGTGCTGGGAAGCAGCTAAGCTGTAATAGGGCTCTATCACCTTTTGGAAAGAACACTTGTATTTTTTAATTTTTTAAAAATGTTGCCTCAATGGCAAGCCCTTTTTTTTTTAAGATATAATTTTTTTATTCTTTTTTTTAAGATTTTATTTATTTATTTTTTTTAGAGAGGGAAGGGAGGGAGAAAGAGAGAGAGAGAGAGAAACATCAATGTGCGGTTGCTGGGGGCCATGGCCTGCAACCCAGGCATGTACCCTGACTGGGAATCAAACCCGTGGCACTTTGGTTCGCAGCCCGCGCTCTATCCACTGAGCTACGCCAGCCAGGGCAAGATATAATTTTTTTATTCTTAGAGAGATGGGAAGGGAAGGAGAACAGAGGGAGAGAAACATAGATGCGTAAGGGAAACAACTATCAGTAGTCTCTCAAATGCACCCTGTCCCAGGGACTGAACTTGTGTCCCAGGCCTGTGCCCTGATGGGGAATCAAATCAGTGACTTTTCACTTTGCAGGATGATGCCCAACCAACTGAGCTATACTGGTCAGGGAGGTTTTTTTTTTTTAGTAGAGAAGAGATAACACTAAAGTGAACCAAGAATGATTATTGTCTACTATATATTGTCTATAATACTGTGATTATTGTCTATCATATATAGGGAAAATCTGGTCCAAGAGGTTTAATCTTTATGGGATGAGTTAGAAATGTACTAAGGTCTATGACCATTATCTCTTTACAATTCTAAAGCAGGACAGGGAGAGTTAAGGATCCAGTCTCTGAGGCGGACTGCCTGGATTTCACTCCCAGAGTTTCTAAGTCTTAGCTATTATTCTCATAGATTATCATTATACACACCAGAAGGCAAACTTCACAAGGGCAAGGAGTTTAGTTCTTGACTGCATGTTCATTGCTGCATCCTTGTTATTTAGAGTACTTGGCACATAGTATGTTCTCACATACTGCTTGTGATTATTAGTTTTATTCAGCACATACACACTTGCTCAGAGCCATGACACTTCCTTTTTCTTCTGTCTCCCTGGCCTGTTTTCTCTGCTCCACATTATTCAGATATCAGCTCAAATGTTACTGAGCACCCCACACTCCATCCAACATAGCTTTAAATTTTTATTCAGTAAACACATTGAATTTAACATGGCAGGAACATCTAAACATTCTAAATATTGGAACACTTTACCAATATTTAACTCACAACAGCCATATAAGGAAGGATTAATATAAATTCCATTTTTACAAATGAAAAGCTGAGGCACAGAAAGATTAAATAACTTGCTCAAGGTCATACAGCTCAGGGAGCTGTAGCTGGATTCAAACCTAATTGGTCTAGTTTTAAAGTCTTTATTCAGGCATCAACAGACTGGATCATATCAAGGCCTTCCTCCTATTTTTATAAATAAAGTTTTATTAGAACACAGTCCCTACCCCCCCAACTCCTTTAGCACAGGCCATGGCTGCTTTCCTGACAAAGAAAGGTGCTGTTCAGTAGTTGTCACAGAGACTGTACAGCCTGCAAAGTCAAAAATATTTTACTCCTTGGTCCTCTCTAGAAAAAGTTTTCCAGCTCCTGGTTTATTTGAATAACAGCCCATGTCATCCTCTGAAGTTGTTGGTTTGATTGTTTATTTTGTGTCTCTTGCACTAGGTTAAAGGCTCCATGAGATCAGGGGTCTTTCATGCTTTGTTCTCCTCTGTATCTTAGCTCTGATACGGAAAAAAAATCTGAGATGTTCTCAATTAAATTATAGGGGCCAGAAAGGGAGAGAAAGAGACAGATCTGTGAATGGCTGTGTGCCAGCTAACAATGGACAGTTCACATTCTTGTTTTGTCTGTTGGGATTTTGGATTAATTTCCAGGTGGTCATTCTGCAGATTATTTCAGCCAGGCATCATCAAACACCAGGAGCCTTGCTTGTTTACATGCATGCTTTCTAGACCTGTCCCAGCCAATCCATAGAAGCTGGCATTTCTTCCTATGGACTCTGACTGCTCTGAATGGGTGCTTCCCTTCCCCCACTCCTTTACCTATACATGTAGATTCTTTCAGACCACCTCCTTCTTCCCCCTACTTGATATGTAAAAATCCCTGGGATGGCAGATATACTGCTGGGAGTTCAGACTCCATGCCCCAAGACCCATCTTCTTTTTTGGCTAGCACTTTTGGCTTCGTTAAACCTTACGTATAAAAAGATTTGCAGCCATGGAAGTTAAGATTTAGTGTAAGACCTCCTAACACAGTGCCTGGCACATAACAGGTGACAATGAATATTTGTTGAACAAAAGAACATTACTCAGTGATGGAGCAAAGTTCATTGTAATTATGTTTAGCCCTTGACCCCTTTGATTTTTAAAGGATATATCTTAATGAACATGTTTGTGATGTGATCTGTAGGTTTGGAGGTTGCTATGTTAATGCTGCTTGTCTTTGGAATATTGCTTCATGACATCCCACTGAGTAGCCAAGATGAGGCTTTTCCAGGAGCCCATGGCATTCCTGGTGAACCTTTGTTTAACTATGCCAGCATCCGCTTGCCAGAGGAACACATTCCCTTCTTTTTATACAATAATGGGCATATTGCCATGGTCTGCAAGAAAGACTCCCATTGTCCTTATAAGGTAAGTATTATTTTTTTCCTCTTATTTATTAGAAGTATGTAATTTAGACTAGCTTACCAATTCTGCTTTATAACTTGAAGGTAGAATTTCATCTTTTGCTTGTAACTGTGAGTCAATTGTTGTATTTCATGTAATGCTTCTAAGTGACCAAACTTTGTTTAAAATTATGTTCCACTCAGAGCAGTGAGATTTAAAATCTAAATCATACTAAAATAAATAGGCAACCAATAGTATTTGTATATTCTATAAGTGAATCAAGTTAGATTTTATGCACAAAAGGATAATATTTGGCTCAAGGTGTGAAATTTGTTTTTCTTTCAACTGCACCTAAAAGGGTCTCTTAGCACTTAATTTCGATAATATCACTGCCCTGTCTCCATATAATTAAGATTGCTATTGCAGCTTTCCTTCTGTTTTAGAGTTGTTGGAAAGGCCTCAAATTGGAGCCCATGAAGAGGGCCCTTGAGGCCCTAGAGATCAAAGCTGGGTAGATGAGACACTTCCTGTCCCATGGTGCTAACACAGGAAGCCTTCTGAGAAGTAGGCCTGGGACCCAGACCTGGGAGTCAGACCACAGTGCTCCTGGGCTACACACAAGAGCTTTCCAGGCTCTCTGGCCAACAGCAGCTGTGGTGTCCCCCGTGGGCTTCAGAGCTTTCTATGTCTGTGGGGTCTCTGCTGATCTTGATGGATGAGTAAAGTTGTTGAGCCATTTACTTTAGCTCTGATTCTTTGGTGACAGGAAATTCATTTTCTTTTATTTATATTTATTTTTATTGCATTTTTTATTACTATTTATCCCCCTAGAAATTCCGTTTTAGATGACTCTTAAGAGACTGATTTTAGAATCAATTTGCTTAATGGAGATAGGCGATTCATGAAACTGCCTCCAGAAATTTCAATTCAAGTGGCCTTTGGTAGTCTAAGTAAAGCCTAGACCTTTGTTTAGGGGATAGACTGAGCAGGGGGTGGTGATTAAAGATATTGTTGTTAAGAGACTTAAGACTACTTATTCTTAGAATTTAATTATTTTTATTGTGCATGTATTATAAAATATAAAAGTGATAGTTCTATAAAGGTTTGTTTTCTTCGTAGAAAAATCTAAGAGTTCTCTCTAAATGTCAGAAGAAGGGAGCCCAGTCTAAATGCACATTTTATGTTTTAGAAACACTTAGAAAATCTAAAGTACTGCTGGGGCTATGAGGGATCCTGCAGACCAGAGTTCAGGTTCAGTTACCCTGTTTGCACCTACGTCGACATGGGATGGTAAGTGTCCAGATGGAAAAATTCCTCCCCTTTAAGTTATCTTTTTCTGTACTGTATGCTGATGCCTCAATTCCCAGCTGGGCTTTTTTGGTTTTAGATAGTAATTTCTTTAGATATCAGGGTTCAACTTGACTCCTCCCCTCCACACACATACAGGAACATCTCATTTTCTCTGCCAGAGGGAGAAAACAGTATATAGAAGACAAAAAAAGTTTTCCCTCAGCAAACACTCAGAAGGTAAATTGATGTTTTCCTCATGATTCTGGAGGGGGAAATTAAGTATATTATTATTTTCAATACATGCACAGTTAATGGAGTAAGGAAAATATAGTAATCGACATTTAATTCTATTTAGTTCCAGATGATGCTAACTTCACACATTTATATGTGTACTTGTATTATAAGGGAGTACATCTGGAAATAACTTACTTTGGTAATTTCTTATAGCAAGAATTTATTTTAGGGAAATTATGATAGTTTACTTAAAAAATTAATGAAAAAGTGCTAGCAAATTAACCTTTAGAAAGAAGATTCAAGTTTCAGAAAAAGTAGGAAAAAAAATGACAGAATGTCTTTGTTTTCAAATAGGACAGACACTCTGGAGTCAGCCCAGGACACGTTCTGGAAGCAAGCTGACTTTGGATATGCTGGAGCGCGGCTGCGGGAACTGCATGTGCTCTGCCAGCCTGAGCAAATGGTAAGGTGGCCTCATAGTCACAAACATGTGCACTAAATATATTCGTGCCCTTTAGATCACAATGTAAAGAAAAGGTAGACAGCATTGTGAAAAGTCTCCTTGCTCTCAAGTATTTATTGGCTTAGACTTTTATTTAACTTCTAAAAACAGGTTGTTCTGTGTCCTTTGGAATCCATGTCCTCATTTCACACATATATCAGATGGCCATATATTTTTTTTGGATGGCCATATTTTGAGGCAGTTACAATATCACTAGGTTTAGAATTTTTCCCCCAACATGTGCTAAAGCAGATAAATTGATAAATTGCATCTTTACAAATTTCCTTGCAAGTAGTCTGGGACAGATGATCCACCCCAGTTTGTAAATAGCTCTTCTATCTGTGAGCTGGTTGGATTCCCACAAGCATAGCAGAGAGGAAAACAGGGTCCTCAGAGACGTTAACCAACTTTTCTAAGACCACACAACTACCACATAGAATTATACATCTAGAATAGAATGCAGCTCTTCTTCTGTGTGCTGTCAAGCATGCCACTTTGCACACAGTTGGTAAAACAAAACATTGCCCAGAGGCAGTTTGGGGTAGTCAGAAGGACAGGGCCCACACTGTAGGGTTCATATTCTGATTCTTGGACAACTTTCCTATTTTCAATTCTGCTTTTAAGCAATTATTATTTCGGACCTTATGGTAAGGATGAAATGAGATTCTGTATATAAAAATGCTCAGTGCAGAGCCTGGTCCCAACAAAGGGCTCAGTGTTCGTTTTTAAAGGTCCAGGGAATTGTAAGCACTTATGATTAAGGTCTATTTATTTCTCATTGTTTTTAAACCCTGGCTGAATCTCTGATATCTCAGGCATCTCCTTTGTCTCCAGGCAATCCAGAAAATAAAAAAACAATAAAAAAATGCACTTACATTAATAAAACTGAACATATGCTCTATAGTGCTTTTGGAGGATGTCATATAATAGAACTTTAAGCAATTCTCACAAGTAAACGTGGCATTAACCCACACTGCTGCAGGTTGCTGTTAACAGATGTTGTTTTACATGTTGAATTCTCTGGCCTGAGTCTCGTTGTTCATATGGAAAGGGCAAGGGAAGAGCCACAACCCACCTTGCTCACCTCTTCCTAGGCAGTCTGTAGAATGCTTTCCTGGCCGTGATCTACCTCCACATGCTCTATGCTACAGAGTATGATCCCTTAACAACTGTGGATACCAAAACAACATTTGGAGGTGAAGGTCTTGTGTTCAAGGTTAAGGTCTTGTGTTCATAGGAATCAAGGTGAAGGTCTTACATTCATGGGAATTATGGGAAAAACAATGAAATGGTATTTAAATCTCTAAATAAAATCTCTTGTGTTGAAACTCTCTCTTTCAACACAAACCAGATTAGGAGAGACAGGAACAGGTTCTGATCCTTGAATTTTAAACTCATTTATTTCAGTGATTTTGAAAGCATTGCCCTCATGTTACTGTTGAGACAGGAACTCATGCTTTGCAGAGAGTACCTCTTATCATATTGACATGCTGCCCTTTCAGCCTAGTTATTTTAATGTCTTGTGTGCATTATTCTTCATTTCATTTGTCTCGTCTTTGGAAAATGCATTTTCATACAACTGTTGTGGTAGGAATGGTTCTCGGTGTTTTTCTTTCTTTTTTCTTAAAGGACTGAACCACATATTCAGCTCTTGTCTTTAAAATTTGAGGTGACATAAATTGAACATTTGGGAGTTTTTAGTCACCCAAAAGTATGAAAATTTTCAAACCTATGCTTGGCCGAAGCCTGCTGAGAAGGGGACAAGTCTTTAAATAGAAGCAGTCTTTGGGAAGCTTCCCTCACCACACTATGTGGTGTGAACTTGAAGGCACACGTGCCATCAACATGTCTGGCAAGTATGAGTGTATCCTCGAAATGTTAATACTCAGAGTTTTTTTTTTTCTTTTTTCTCAATCTTATTTTAGAATGACTCAAGTTTGGTATGTTCCCGTTACCTTCAGTATTGCAGAGCAGTCAATCTCTATCTTGATTTAAGAAACATCAAGAGAAACCATGACAGGTATTTAAGTGGTTGATGTTAAAATCTAATGGAAATTCTGTAATATTTTCAAGTCCAGGGATATACCTTGTATTTGCTTTGTACTGATACGGCAATGAGGTTGAGGACAGATGGAGGATGGAAGACTCATATTGGTCATGAGTTGACCATTGTGAAGCTGAATTATAGGTCCATCAGCTTCGTATGCCATTCTGCTACTTTTGTATATATTTGAAATGTTCTATTATAAAGAGTTAAATTCTGATGGAAAACCAGTTTTGGAAATTAGTAAATCATTTTGGTTACAACTCATGAGCTTGAGTCATGAAAAAATTTTCCAAACTCAATTTAATTTTTATTACTCATCAGATTTAAAGAAGATTTTCTCCAGACTGGTGAAATTGGAGGACACTGTAAACTTGACATTCATACATTAATGTCGGAAGGTCAGCGCAAAAGCCCTTTACAGTCTTGGTGAGGTTCTTTTTGTTTTGTTTTGTTTTGTTTTTATTATGTTTGTAAAAAATTTGCCTTTATTTCTGGCACTTGCAGATTTTGATAAGGACTTTCAAATGGAAAATTTTACTTCATTTGTGAATAATTTGGTATGAATTTGGGGAGTGATGGCTACAGGGTGAATCTGCCAGTTATATCTGAATCAAATGTTTTTTTCTGTTTTGTTTATGTTTTTATTTTTTCCTGTTAAGTATTTTATTGTTTATGTTATTACAGTTGTACTAATTTTTCCTATTTTGCCTCCTCCACCCATCCTGCCCCCCTTTCCCACTGTCAGTCCCCTCACTGTTGTCCATTTCCATGGGTCATGCATATATGTTCTTTGATTAATCCTTTCACCTTCTTTCGACCAGTCCCTGCATCCCCCTCCCCTTTTATAGCTGTCAGTCTGTTCCATGTTTCTATGTCTCTGATTCTATTTTGGTCATTAATTTTGTTCATTAGATTCCATCTATAAATGAGATCATATAGTATTTGTCTTTCATTGACTGGCTTATTTCACTTAGTATAATAGACGCCAGTTCCATCCATGCTGTTGCAAAGATAAGAATTCATTATTTACTGCTGTGTAGTATTATATGTTTATAAAATATTAAGAAGTATGATATAGTGCTTACTGATTGCTAATAGAAGAAAAATTAGTTTAAAAATGAATTTTTATTAACTCATCATTATTGCTATATGTGTTTGGGGGAATATACTTTTTAAAAAAAGAAATACACATTTATTGAAGTATGAACAGGCATATAGAAAAGTATACATTTGAATTATGAATGAGTGAATTTACCTGTGTCACTGTTACCCAGGTCAGAAATAGACCCTCATCAGCACCCCAGGTTCTCTTCTAGTCACAACCCCATCCTCCTGTCCAAAGACAAATGCATCCTGACTTTCAATACCAATTGATCAACCTTTTGAACTTTATATAAACTGGAGAATACATTTTGATTTAAAACTTTTTCAAAATTAAACTATTTCTATGGTCTATCAAGAAATTTACCATCTCTAGAAATTAAGGAACAAGGGTAATTTAAAACAACTTAATTTAAAATACTTTTAGACCCTTAGAAGTTTAAACATAATAAAAGGAGTTTCCATTGTAACCTTATTCTGACTTCCTCTAATGATGACATCTTACATAAATAATATAGCTCAATGATCAAATCCATGAAAATCACATTGGTGCAATGTTAATAATGAACACATTTGGATTTTACCAGTGCTTATATATGCTCTCATTTTTTTTTGATATCTAGTTCTATGAAATTTGTATCACACGTCTAGGTACGTGTAACCACTACCACAATCAGGATATCCCAAAGAAACTGTCATGCCACTTCTTTATAGTCTGAGGTTCTGAGCAGTCAATTTTGATGTGTGGGGGTGGTTTCCACATATCACCAAACAAGTCTCTGAAACCATCTGGGTGTCCTACAGCTCAATTCAATTCTGATATACTGTCCCACAGGTTAAGGGCTCAGTCCCACAAGACTGCAGCTCCCCTTCAGGCCTCAGTCTCAAGGCCAGGTTGTCACTTGTGCTTCTGACTGATCAGAAATAGATTGGAGGTTCTAATGATCCCCTTCTTGGGTTTAGTTTGCTAGAGCAGTTCATAGAGCTTTGAGAAACATTTTCCTTATTAAATGGTTTATTATAAAAGAATATAGCTGAGGAACAGTCAGATGGAAGAGGTGCATAGGGCAAGGTATGGGGAAGGGTTTAGAGCTTCCTCGACTTCTCCAGGCACACCAGTCTCTCCAAATCTCTAAGTGTTCCCCTACCCAGAAGCTCGTCTTTTAGTTTTTTTTATGGAGGCTTTGTTATATAGGCTTTGTTGATTAAATCATTGGCCACTCATTGATTCAACCTCTAACCTTCTTCCTTTCTCCAGAGGTCAAGAGGCAGGACTGAACATTCTAAACCTCTAATCACACCATTGGTTCTTCTGGCAATCAGCCCCCAACCTAAGGGTGGTCCAAAAGCTACCTAATTAACATAACAAAAGAGACCTGTATGGCTCTCATCACCTTAGAAATCAGAAGGGTTTTATGAGCTCTATGCCAGAAAGATGGGGAGTAAGACCTAATGTTGTAATATTATAAATCACAATACCACAAGTCACATAGGATACTCTTATGTTAACTTTTGAGGTCAAACATTCATTGTAAGCAAATCCTTCAGGATAATAATCTACTATACATTTGTATAGCATTTTATAGTCCACAATGCAGTATCTTCTTTGACTTAACAGAGTTTTGCATAGGAGTTCCTGTATTCTAGTGGGCATTTTTATGCCTAGCCATTTTGATATCTAATTCCGCATGGTAGTTTCCTAGGGTGTATTTGTATCAGGTATTTATTCCTGTGCAATATTTTACTCCAAATATGCCTGCCCTAGAGTATAGTTGTATTTATTATCTATTGCTGTGTGACAAATTACTCCAAAATGGAGCATTTTAAGACAACAAACATTCATTTTCTTATGAAGTTTCTGATGGTCAGGTTTTGGAGGCAGCCAAGCCGGGTGGTTCTGGCTCATGGTCTCCTACAAGGTCCCAGTTCGGTGGTTGACGAGGGCTGCAGTCATCTCTAGATTCAGCTGGACCTGGAGAATCTGTTTCTAAGCTCAGGCACATTGTTGTAAGTGCTAACAAACAAATGGCTTGATATTTCTTTAGCAAAATAGGTTTATTTGGGAATTTAAAAAAATATAAATTAAGGACATGCAGCCTAATGGTGACCTATGCCCAAGTCTAGAGAACAAAGGAGAGGAACATTATTTTATAGAGAAAAGGGTGAGTTTACAGGGGTTGTTGTCAACAAAGAGCCTACTGGGAGAAACTGGGAGTTCAAAGTGTAGCAGCTTTTCATTGGCTGAGTTGTAACCATCTTTCATTGGTTGAGTGGGTTCCTAAGTGAGAAAATCCTTCTTACTGTTGTAGTAGTAGCTAGTAGAACATCTTCCTATGGAGATGGACAGTATATCTTTTCCTGTTTGGGATGATTGATCATGAGTGGTAGGGCATGAAAACTGCCCCCTACAGGCCCTCTTAACTCAAATTGAAATGAGCTTTTTGTTGACTAATCTTTGAATAAGTTTTAGTTTTTCTCTGGCTATTGTTAGGAGTGCCATTTCTTTGCCATGTGGGCCTCTTCCAAGTGTCACAGCACCCGGTAGCCAGGATTCCCAAGAGAGCCCTTGGTGAAAGAGATAGAGATGATAGAGACAGAGACAGAGACAGAGATAGAGATAGAGATAGAGATAGAGATAGAGATAGATAGAGATAGAGATAGAGATAGAGACGAGAAGAGGAGGTGCAGGGAGGAGGGATGGGGAGAAGGAGAAACAGAGAGACAGCATGCCCAGTTGGAGGTCTTAGTCTTTGTATGCTCCAATCTCAGAAATGACACACCATCACTTCTGCCACATTGTGTTCATTAGAAATGAATCACTAAGTCCAGCCCACACTCAAGGGAAGGGAATTAAACTCCTCCCCTTGAAGGGAAAATTATCAAAGAATTTGTGGACAGATTTTAGAAACCACAGTAATTTAGCATTGTGTGTTTTAAAAGGATCTGTTTAATACTTGTTTTACATCACATGTGGTTTCAAAGATGAAGTATTACAAATGATCTTTAAGTTAACTCTAAATATCTTTTTTTTAAAAAAAAGATTTTATTTATTTATTTTTATAGAGGAGAAAGGAAGGAGAAAGAGAGGGAAAGAAACATCAGTGTGTGGTTGACTCTTGTGCACCTCCTACTGGGGACCTGGCCTGCAACCCAGGCATATGCCCTAGACTGGAAGTCAAACCGGTAGCACTTTGGTTTGCAGGCCAGCACTCAATCCACTGAGCCACACCAGCCAGGGCAACTCTAAATATCTCTTGTCACATGCTTGTGATTGTCTTCTTTTACATGGAAGAAACCTGTGCCATGTGGCTTTCAAAGATGTTTTCTAAGAAAAAGGCTTTCCTTTCTTCTGGGAAATGTAGCTGTCTGCTATCTTTCCAAGACACTGGGTAATTCTTTTTTTTTATTTTAAATTTAAATATTTTATTGTTTGTGCTGTTACAGTTGTCCCAGTTTTTCTCCTTTTGCTCCCCTCCGTCCAGCCCATCCCTCACTCCCATAGTTAATCCCCACACCATCGTTCATGTCTGTGGGTCATTCATAGATGTTTTTTGACTAATCCCTTCACTATTTTCCAACCAATCCTCCCCTCCCCTTGCTGCCCTCTTACAGCTGTTCTATGTTTCTATCTATGTTCTATCTTTCAATCTGTTCTATGTTTCTTTTTTTGTTTGTTTGTTTTCTATGTTTCTATGCCTTTGGTTCTGTTTTGCCCTTTAGTTTATTTTGTTCATTTGATTCCACTTATAAGTGAGATCATATGGTATTTGTCCTCCAATGATTGGCTTATTTCACTTAGCATAATATTCTACAGTTCCATCTATTTTGTCCCAAAGGTAAGAATTCCTTCTTTTTTACTGCTCCTTGGTATTCCACTGTGTAAATGTACCACTGTTTTTGAATCCACCCATTTAGTGACGAGCACTTAGGCTATTTCCAAATCTTGGCTAGTGCATAGAGGTGCATATATTCTTTGAAATTGGGATTCTTAGGATATATTCCCAGCAGTGGAATTGCTGGATTAACAGGCAGTTCCATTCTTAATTTTTTGATGAAATTCCATACTGTTTTCCACAGTGGCTGCACTAGTATGCATTCCTACCATAAGCAGATTAGGGTCTCTTTTATCTACATCTTTAGTCCTTGTTGTTTGTTGATTTATTAATGATAGCCATTCTGACAGGTGTCAGGTGATATCTCATAGTGGTTTTAATTTTCATGTCCCTGATGGCTAGTGATATTGAGCATTTTTTTTATATGTCTATGGGCCCTGTGTATGTCCTCCTTGGAGAAGTGTCCATTCAGGTCCTTTGCCCATTTTTTAATTGGATTGTTTGTCTTCTGGTGTTGAGTCATATAAGTCCTTTATATAGTTTGGAGATTAAACCCTTGTCCAGTGTATCATTGGCACATATGTTCTTCCATATAGTGGATTCCCTTTTCATTTTGGTGATGGTTTCTTTAGCTGTGCAGAAGCTTTTTAATTTGATGTAGTCCCATTTGCTTATTATTTCCTTTGTTTTCCTTGCCCTAGGAGATTTGTCAGCAAAAATATTACTGCATGAGATAGCTGAAATTTTACTGCTTATGTTTTCTTTCAGGATTTTTATGGTATTGTGACTTACATTTGTCTTTATCCATTTTGAGTTTATTCTGGCGTATGGTATAACATAGTAGCCTAATTTTATTTTTTGGCATGTATTAGTGTCCAGTTCTCCCAACACCATTTATTGAAGAGACTGTCTCTGTCTCTCTTTTTTTGAAGAGACTGTCTTTACTTCATTGTATGCTCTTGCCTCCTTTGTCAAATATTAATTGACCTTAAGGATATGAGTTTATTTCTGGGCTTTCTATTCTGTTCCATTGATCTATGTGTGTGTTCTTATGCCAGTACCAGACTGTTTTGATTACAGGAACCTTGTAGTATAGATTGATATAAGGTATTGTGATCTCACCAACCTTGTTCTTCTTTCTCAAAATTGCTGAGGCTATTCAGGGTCATTTTTGGTCCCATATGAATTTTTGGAATATTTGTTCTCATTCTGTGAAGTGTGCCATTGATATTTTAATAGGAATTGTATTGAATCTATAGATTGCTTTGGGTAGTATGGACATTTTAATGATATTAATTCTTCCAATCCATGAACATGATATATGCTTCCACTTATTTGTATTTTCTTCAATAGTTTATTTCCTTCTTTTGCATTGTATAGTTTTCTGAGTACAGGTTTTTTTGTCTTCTTGGTTAAACTTATTCCTAAGTACTTTATTTTGTTGTTGTTGTTGTTGTTGTTGCAATAGTAAATGGGATTGTTTTCTTAGTTTCTCTTTCTGATAGTTCATTATTGGTGTATAAAAATGCCGTTGATTTCTGAGTAGTGATTTTGTATCCATTTACTTTGCCAAATTCATTTATTGGAGCTGGCAGGTTTTTGGTGGAGCCTGTAGAGTTTTCTATGTACACTATCATGTCATCTATGAATAATGGCAGTTTTACTTCCTCATTTCCAATATGGATGTCTCTTATGTCTTCTTGTCTGATCACTGTGGCTAGAAACTTCCAGTACTATATGGAATAAGAGAGGTGAAAGTGAACATCCCTGTCTTGTTCCTGATCTTAAGGGAATTCTTTTAGTTTTTATCCATTTAATATGATGTTGGCTGCAGGTTTTTCCTATATGGCCTTTGTTATGTTGAGGTATGCTCCCTCTATTCCCTCTTTTTTACCAGATAATTCTTGGAATGCTGTCTTTCTCAGAATCCAAGAAGTCTATGCCAAGAGAGCCTCTGGGTCAGTGTTACTTCTGAGACTCCTCAGACTCCGGGAAACCTTTTTGAATCTTCCCACTGTACTGGTAGATGATTTAGCCAACTTAATGTATAAATTTCTTCTTTGTTACCAGTTTGTTAGAAAGTTACCAGTGTATCTTGCACTAAAATTTAAAATCATTTTTGTTCCTTATCTCAGCATTAAAATCAATATCAAGTTATGTGTTAGTAAGTTTGAGAAGTTCCACATGTCTTCCTAAGTGCCTGTTCTAGAAATAAAATTACCCAAATGAAGAGATCTTAAGTGACAATGTTGCAGTAGGATGTTCAGGAGAATCACTCTGAAAGTATCTCCTAATTCATACTTTAAGGTTTGCGGAGCTCCAAAGCTATACTCAGCTCAACTTCAGACCTATAGAAGATGCTAAATGTGACATTGTTATTGAAAAGCCAACCTACTTCATGAAATTGGATGCAGGTGAGAAGTTAATTTGACTATAATTTATTTATTTCATTTTAATTTTATTTTTAAAAAGATTTTATTTATTTATTTATTTAATTTATTTATTTTTAGACAGAGGGGAAGGGAGGGAGAAAGAGAGAGGGAAAACGTCAATGTGTGGTTGCCTCTTGTGTGCCCCCTACTGGGAACTTGGCCTACAATGCAGGCATGTGCCCTGACTGGGAACTGAACCAGCAACCCTTTGGTTTGAAGGCCCATGCTCAATCCACTGAGCCACACCAACCAGGGCTATAATTTATTAATGAGACTTTGTTACTTTTTTGATATACACATGTAGTGATTTCCTGTGACTTTTTGGGAAGCAGTATGATATTAAACAATGGATTTGCTTTGTGCTTTCCTCTCTGAAGAAGTGAATTTGTTTGAATTTCCCTTCATTTGTTTGAATTTCCCTTAATTTAATATTTGAGTATTTTTTAAAATATATGTATTTATTTATTTTTAGAGAAAGGGGAAGGGAGGGAGAAAGAGAGTGAGAGAACATCAGTGTGTGGTTGCCTCTCATGTGCCCCCAACTGGGGACCTGGCCCACAACCCAGGTATGTGCCCTGACTGGGAATAGATCTGGTGACCCTTTAGTTCATAGGTTGGCATTCAATGCACTGAGCCATACTGCACAGTATAAAGTATAGGGGTACTACTTTATTTTATTTTATTATTTATTTATTTATTTTCCTTTTTTAATTGATGTTTGAATACAGTTGTCTCCATTTTCCCACTACCACTTTCTGCCGCCCTACCCAAGCCAACCTCCCACCCTCAATCCCACTCCCGCCTTGACTCCATCGATGGGTCCCTCATTCATGTTCATTTATGTCCCTTTCCATTCTTTCCTACATTATTTCCCTCTCCCGTCCCCTCTGGTTACTGTCAGTTTGTTGTTGATTTCAATGCCTCTGGCTATATTTTGCTTGCCATTTTGTTTTGATAATTAGGCTCCACTTATAGGTGAGAAAATATGGTATTTGTCTTTCACCACTTGGCTTACTTCACTTAGCCTAATACTTTCTAGTTCTATACATGTTGCGAAGGGTAGGAGCTCCCTCTTTCTTTCTGTTACATAGTATTCCATTATGTAAATGTACCATAGTTTATTGATCCACTCACTTACTAATGGGCACCTAGGTTGCTTCTAGCACATGGCTATTGTAAATGTTGCTGCTATGAACATTTGGGTGCATAGGTTCTTTTGGATTGGTGTTTCAGGGTTCTTAGGATATAATCCCAGCAGTTAAATTGCTGGGTCAAAAGGCAGTTCCATTTTTACTTTTCTGAGGAAATTCCATACCGTTTTCCACAGTGGCTGTACCAGTCTGCATTCCAACCAACAGTGTACTGGGTTCCCTTTTCTCCGCAACCTAACATTTATCATTTGTCAATTTGTTTATGATGGCTATTCTGACTGGTGTGAAGTGGTATCTCACTGTAATTTTAATTTGCATATCTCTGATGGCTTGTGATGCTGAGCATCCTTTCAAATGTCTCCAGATCTTCTGTATATCCTCTTTGGAGAAGTGTCTGTCATGTCCTACGCCCATTTTTTAATTGGATTGTTTGTCTTCCTGGTGTGGAGTCATGTGAGTTCTTTGTATATTTTGGAGATCAAAGCCTTGCCCGAGATAATCATGGGCAAATATGTTTTCCCATACATTTGGTTCCCTTTTCATTTAATGTTTTCTTTAGCCATGCAGAAGCTTTTTATTTTGATGAAGTACCATTTGTTTATTTTTTCCTTTATGTCCCTTGCTCTAGGGGACATACTGGTGAAAATATTGCTGTGTGGAATATCTGAGATTTTCCTGCCTATCTTTTGTTCTAGGACTTTAATTGTATCACAACTTATATTTAATTCTTTTATCCACCTTGAATTTATTTTTGTGTATGGCATAAGTTGGTGTTTGAGTTTCATTTTTTTGCATGTAGCTATCCAGATGTCCCAACATCATTTGTTGAAGAGGATATTTGGATTCAATTTTATGTTTCTACCTGCTTTGTCGAATATTAATTCACCATAGAGACTCAGGTTTATTTCTGGTCTCTCTATTCTGTTCCATTGATCTATGCATCTATTCTTATGCCAGTACCAGACTGTTTTGATTACAGTGGTCTTGTAATATAGTTTGATCAGGTATGGTGATCCCACCTACTTTCTTCTCCTTGCTTAAAATTCCTGCAACTATTCATGGTTGTTTATAGTTCCATATAAATTTTGGAAGTGTTTGTTCTATATCTGTGAAATATGTCATTGGCATTTTCATTGGGATTGCATTGAATCTATAAATTGCTTTGGGTAGTATGAATATTTTGATGATGTTAATTTTTTAATCCATGAACGTGGTATATGCTTCCATTTATTTTTGTCTTCCTCAATTTCTTTCTTCAGTATTGTATAGTTTTCTGAGTACAGGTCTTTTACCTCCTTGGTTAGGTTTATTCCTAGGTATTTTATTTTTCTTGTTCCCATAGCGAATGGGATTTTTTTCCTGATTTCTGTTTCTAATATTTAATTGTTGGTGTACACAAATGCCTTCAATTTATGAATATTGATTTTGTATCCTGCTGTTTTTCCAAATTCACTTATTAGGTCGAGTAGTTTTTTGCTGGAGTCTGTAGGGTTTTCTATGTACACTATCATGTCATCTGAAAACTGACTATTTTGCTTCCTCCTTTCCAATTTGAATGCCTTTTATTTCTTCTTCTTGTCTGATTGCTGTGTCTAGGACTTCCAATAAATACTGTGTTGAAGAGAAGTGGTGAAAGTGAACATCCTTGTCTTGTTCCTGATCTTAGTGGGAAAGATTTTAGTTTTTGCCCATTGAATATGATGTTGGTTGTAGGTCTCTTATATATGGCCTTTATTATGTTGAGGAATGTTCCCTCTATTCCCACTTTGCTGAGTGTTTTTATCAAAATGGGTGCTGTACCTTATCAAATGCTTTTTCTGCATCTTTTGATATGATCATGTGATTTTGTCTTTGCTTTTGTTTATTTGATGTATTATGTGTATAGATTTGTGACTATTGTACCATACTTGCATCACTGGGATGAATCCCACCTGGTCATGGTGTATGATCTTTTTAATGTATTTCTGGATGTGGTTTGCCAATATTTGGTTGAGGATTTTAGCGTCCATGTTCATCAGCATTATTGGCCTGCAGTTTTCTTTCTTTGTTGTGTCTTTATCTGGTTTTGGGATTAGGATGATGCTGGCTTCATAAAAAGAGTTTGGGAGTCTTCAGTCTTCTTGGATTTTTTGGAAAAGTCTGTGAAGGATAGGGGTTAGCTCTTCCTTAAATGTTTTGTAAAATTGTGTGAAACCATCCAGTTCAGGGCTTTTGTGTGTTGGGAGTTTTTTGATTATTGCTTTGATTTCATCAGCTGTTATTGGTCTTTTCAGGCTTTCTCCTTCTTTTTCACTGAGTTTTAGAAGATTATATTTTTCTAGAAATTTGTCCACTTAGGTTTTCAAATTTCTTGGCATATAGTTCTTCATAATAATTTCTTACAATTCTTTGTATTTCTGTGGTGTCAGTTGTAATATCTCCTCTTTTGTTTCTGAGTATGTTTATTTGGGCCCTCTCTCTTTTTTTCTTGATGAGTCTGCTTAAAGTCATGTTGATATTTTTATCTTTTCAAAAACCAGCTCCTGGATTTATTGATCCTTAGAATTGTTTTTTTAGTCTCTATGTTGTGTAATTCTCTGATCTTGGTTATTTCCTTCCTTCTACTTGACCTGTGCTATCTTTGTTGTTGTTCCTCCAGTTCCTGTAGATGTAAGGTTAGGTTGTTTATTTGAAATATTTCTATCTTTTTTAGGTAGTCCTGTATCGCTATGAACTTCCCTCTCAGGACTGCCTTTGCTGTGTCCCATACCTTTGGGACTGTTGTGAGTTCATTTTCATTTGTGTCAAGAAACTTTGTGATTTCTTCCTTGATTTCATTCTTAACCAATTCATTGTATAATAGCATGCTATTCAATCTCCATGAGTTTGAGTATTTTTGAGTTTTTTCCTTCAGGTTGGTTTCTAGTTTCAGGCCCTTGTGGTCTGAGAAGATGCTTTCTATGATTTCAATATTCTTGAATTTGTTGAGGCTTGTTTTGTGTCCTGTCATGTGGTCTATCTTTGAAAATGTTCATGTGCATTTGAAAAGAATGCATATTTAGCTTCTTTGGGATAAAAGGCTCTCTATATATCAGTTAAGTGCATTTAATCCAGGGCATTGTTCAATGCAGCAATATCGTTGTTGATACTTTTTTGGGAAGTTCTATTCATTTTTGACAGTGGGGTGTTGAAATTCTCTAGTATATGTGTGTTGCTGTCTGTATCTTTCTTGAAGTCCTGCAAAAGTTTCCTTATGTGTTTGGGTGCATATATAACTATAATGTTCATGTCTTCTTAATGGATTCTTCACTTGAGTATTATGAAGTGTCCTTTTGGGACTCTTTTTATGGCCTTTGTTTTGAAGTATTTTGTCGGATATAAGTATTGCTACCCTGGACTTTTTTCCTGCCTGTGGGATGGAATATTTTTTCCCAGCCCTTCACTTTCAGTCTGTGTAGGTCTTTTGTTCTTAGATGGGTCTCCTGGCAGCATATGTGTGAGTAGTGTTTTTAATCATTCTGCTAACCTTTTTCTTTTGATTGGAGCATATAATCCATTTACATTTAAGGTTATTATTGATAGGTACTTATTCATTGCCATTTTATTTCCTTTGTACTTTCATTCCTTTCTTTTTCACTCTTTTCCTTCCTCTTCTTAAAGCAGTACCTTTAGCATATCTTGCAGTGCTGGTTGGTGGAGGTGTATTCTTTGAGGCTTTTTTTGTCTGGGAAACTTTTTATTTGGCCTTCCATTTTAATTGTGAGCTTTGCTGGATAGAATAGTCTTTGTTGCAGGCCTTTGTTTTTCATTGCTTGGAATATTTCTTGCCACTCTCTTCTGGCTTGGAGTGTT